GACTTTCTCGGGGCCTGTACATATCCCCTCGCCGGTCACCTTGTGGCCCAGATACCGCAGCTCTTTTCTGAAGAACTCGCACTTGTCTGCGTTCAGCCGCAGCTGTCGAAACACTTCTTTCAGGTTTCTTCGGTGTTCTTCCTCTGTTCGCCCGATGTAGTCGATTCATGGCATTGGGTACGCGTCTTTTATTGATTTCGCGTTTACTTGACGAAAGTCCACGCACAATCTCCACTTGCCATTTTTCTTCTTTACCATCACTATAGGCGAACTGTAGGGACTCCTTGACGGCTCTATGCATCCCATTTCTAGTAGTTCGTCCACTTTCTGGTTAATCTCGGCCTGCATTTTGGTGTTCTTCGGGTAATATCTTTGCTTAATCGGTTGCAGATCACTCATGGTGATTGTGTGCACCGCCACATTGGATACTCCCTCGATCTTGGAGAACGCCTCCAACTCTCGGGATAGGAATTCCTCCTCTATGGCGGCCGCTTCCTGGGTCATTTCCGTTTTTTCGTTAGGCTCTGGGGCCGTGTCCCCAGCCTCGGCCTTCGCCACGGACAGTCTTTCCTCCTGACTTCCACGTGCCCTGCACAGGTCACCACTGCCCCGACCGCGCTGAGGAAGTCCCATCGTAAAACCAATTCATCTATTACGCCCGGTAACACGAGTAATGCCATTGGGATCTTCTTCTTCCCAAAACCTACCTTTACCTCGATCTGTTCACCCGTTTCCTTGCTGCCGCCTCCCGGCCTTCACCTGTCAGTCGATCCGCCAGCTCGCGGCTCACGAAACTGCTTATAATGCCCCTGTGTCTACCGTGGCTCACAGCTCAATGCCCGCAACTTCCACTACTGCAGATAGTGGCGCTTCTTCGCTGGTCATCCTGCCGACTAGGCTTGAGGGACAGCATCTTGCGAGGGGGGCGCGGCGTGGGTTGCGGTGCGTTTCCCGTCTTCCGGCAGCACTGCCACGCCGAGATCCCCAATTTTCGTCATCTCCACCAGTAGGTGAGGGGTCGGGCGTTGCACTCCCGGCTCCAATGCTCCGCGCTCCCACACCTCCGGCATGCCTGGCCGGATTCTTGACCTATCCATTTTCGATATTGCTCGCACTGGTCCGTCCACTGGTCTTTGCACCGTCGACACACCGTCGTCTCGGCCGGCTAGGCGGTCCCTTTCCAGCGCCTCGAACTCGTCTGCCAACTCCACCATGGTGTCCAGATCCCTGCATCTCATGTACGCCCTCAATTCTGGCATGTTATTCTCCCGGATCACCTCCGTTTGCTCCTCCTGGGGACATTTCAGTCGCATAAGCGTCTGCATCTCCACCATGTATTCCTTGAAGGGATCTCCCAATTTCTGGTTCCTCGTCCTCACTTCCTGCAGCAACTTCTCAAAGTATCTCCGCGGCACAAAATAGGCCTGGAAGCTGATTGATAACTCTTTCCACGTTCTCCACTGCCGGTTGTTTGCCACAAACCACATCAGCGCCCGTTCCTTCAGCAGCTCTGGCATCGCCCTTGGGATTAGATCAGGATCCAGACCTTATGTCTCGGCGGACCACTCGATCTCCTCCAAGAACTCGAGAGGCTTCGTCATTACGTCGAAACGGAACGACCACTCTCTCACCTGTATAGCCATTCTGGCATAGTCCAGGTGTGCCGGCCATACGGTTGCTGGTTCGGTCCTCCCCCTTTCACCTGTCGGCTTCGTTCCCTACCCGCATGGCGGGGCCTGCTAGGCGTCACCGTGTGCGAGCGATCCGGTACCGACACCGACAGACTTGCGACCAATTCTTGTTTATTTTGGCCGGGGACCTCCATAGCGCCGCCATGGCAGCGCTGGTCGGGGGTGCCAGGTGTTCGTATGCGGCCTGTTTGTCGTCCGCACGGGGTGTCGGCGAGGACCTGTCCGCCCGACACTCCCACACCTCAAGCAGGTCAGCCCAATCGGCTCAGAGTCTTTACCTATCCTCCCTTTGTTTTGTTATTTGTCGCTGTAGGCCCCATGTTGGACGCCTGTTGTATCGAACCTTCTTTTTGGCCCGCTCGAGTTAGCTGGGCTCGCTCAGCGGTTGCCACAACGACAAATTACAACAACTCTTACTTCGGTAATATAAGTGCGCTTTATTTATATTATATTATATTTATATACTAAGACTTAGGTCTCTTAACTATGGGTTTTCACCACACGCGGGGCTCTCGTCGAGTGAGGTTAGGGGCAAATCGACCTCAGCGTCTGCTTTGGCCCGCCACTCTAATCCGCACGCTACGGCTCGCACTTCCCACCTAGATTCCGCCGGTGGATGTGGATCACCACTTAGACACACTCTGATGGGCAGGCGGGGCGCGGCAACCACGCGTCTCTATCTCCCGCAGCAGTACGTTCACTGCCGCTGGTATACGTGGGCAGTGATGCCTCAACCGTCCTTTGTAGTAGAGCGGCTACTGTCAGATGAAGATAGCCGAGCCCAAGCTAGGCCCAAGATTGACTTTGCCTGTGGCTGTGGATTGTTCGAGTTTAACGTAATGCCGTTAGGATAACGCTGCAGCCACTTTCGGGAGACTAATGGACTAATTGTTCGCTGGCCAAACCTAGAGATCGCCGCTGGTAAACTTAAATGACATCATTCTACATTCACGCACTGCGGAAGAGCATCTGAAGTATTTTGAAAAGGTGTTCCTTTCGAATGGGGCACCGATTGCCCTGAGATTAAGCCCGGAGACCGTTCGCCTGGTGGGACCGCTTCGAGCATGAAACGCCAAGCATTGGGTGCAAAATATTGACAGCGCTTAGTTCGATCCACTAAAACCGTTTCTTAGCCTTAGCCAGTTTTCTATACGCCGAAGTGGCCTGGAGGATTGGTGGACGCTTTGTAGTATTGCCAGCTGTACTGTGGACGGAATGACAGGAACCTGATCGCCGTCTTGGCTTGTGATCATAAGCACTCTGTCTTTCATGTGTCCTGTGTCATCATGTGCTACTTTACAAAGTAGGCAGAATTCTTAGCTCTACCGGATCAGATGGCAGAGATGGTTGCTAATATGGTGTTCCCTTCCTGTTTCACTCGGCCCAAGGACGCAATTTTTGATCTGAAACACGCACCACCCATCTTTACCCTTAATGGGACGGAATGATTGATCTTTTTAACCGTACGCTGTTCAGTTACCTTGCTAAATTCGGAGCCAACAATCAATGGAATTGTGGCAAACGATTGCCATGGGCGCTGTGGGCTTATTGGACCGCCCCTCATGAGGCTAAAGCATTCTCTCCTACGAAGCTAACCCTAACCCGATTGCCGTACGAGCTATTGAATGGCAGGCCAAAAGCCGACGTGGAAGGCTACCTGGCCTTTGTGGATAAATCTCAATTGCGGGACAGGCACCACGCGACAAGGGAACATCTAAGGGCGAGCTTGTATGGCTGTATGCACCTGTCCGGAAAGTGGGCCAATGTCCGAAACTCCAATCAGACTAGATGGGCAATTCGCAATCATTCCGACCTAGTCTACGAAATATGCTTTTCCGGAATGCGCACCACCTAGACAACCATTTTAACGGACTCGTTGCATATAAATGACCCGTTTTGAAATACGTCGGGCAGGAGGCTCGACTCTATGAAGAGTGCAATGTAACAAAAAGTCGTTTTTAAAGTTTAGTGCCCTTAGAGCCCTCGGTCCGCTCTATCGATAGTTATATACCATCTCGATTGGCTGGACTTGAGCGGAAGAAAAAGATGAAGTTACATGTAGGAAGAAAAAGTAGTAAGCAAGAGGTTAAGTGCAAAAATAAATACGCCACCAAGAATTTGTGAAGATTAAGTGTTCATAATACTGAATCGGAGGTCTACTAAAACATAGCTGCTGCATTCCTCAGCATTGTACCATCTCCCAACCTGAGAGGAACATCCGCTCGGCCCGCCTACTAGCACCTCCCAGCACCCGAAAGACACACATATTCAGTTAGTTTTGTTTATTGTGAATTTAAACAAATAAAATTGTTTGCTAATAGCTACTAACCTTGAATTAGTGCTATTTTTCAATGTCCGTTCCATAGCAATCTTTATTTTCCGTATGGTATAAAGAAAGAATACAAAAATGTATTCCCGTTAAAAACAAATATTTTAGAGCTTGTCGTTATTCAAAGTAAATGTAGAAACATAGCAAATAAACATAGCAACTTCAATTTGTACAGCGACAATAATTTATCTAAATATTTTGTTTGTATTACTTGACTATAACTTAATTTAAAAAATAGAAAATACAATTTTTTTTGGCTTTTAAAATTAAAATTAAAAAAATTAGAATAAAAAAATGATTTTTTTTCTTAAAAAAAGGCTTTAGTTTTTTCTCTACATTCTGTACTTTTTCTGTACGCTCCAATTTATGTTTTATTAAACAATAAAATAAAATATTTATTTAATAAATAAAAATATTTATTTATTATTATAAATTCCGTCTAGAGTGGTTATTTCAGGCACTGTGACTTAGTCCGAATGCAGGTTAGTGTAAACTTAAATAATTCGCTATATTCAGGACGATTTTCAATTTAAAAATATTCAAGCCGTGTTCGTGGCACAAAAGTAAATCATGTAATTGGATGATTCGTTGGACTCCATGCACCTCTTCCCGACAGCTGACAGAATTTAATGCTTCTACTGAGACAACCGTACAGTCCCACAGTCCGACAACGCTATGCCCTGGAGTTATGCTCGGACAGCAAGGAGCTTCGTAAAAAATCTAGACCTTAAGTCTCAGAGTATTAGGCGACAAGACAGTGTGACAGAATTGGCTATATCGACTAATAATGTTTATCAAGAATTTAGTATATAGACTGTATGGGGTCGGTAACGTGTCCTCATGTTCATTAAATAAATCTACACGGATTTAATATCCCCCTGTACTCGTTCAGTACAAGGAATATATAAAATTTCAACTATAGAACCAGAAGCGGATAGTGTGGATGGTGAGTAGCACAGACTAATAGGATAGCATTGAGGTTTTGGTTTTTTATTATAAGTTTTATTTAGACTCCATTTGGCTTTTAAAATTATCAGAGTCGTTATAAATATTATTTGTAAATTGGTTTGGTGTTATGTCCTGATGAGTGGAAATTAATTGGACTAAAATAGAGTTGTCAGTTATAATGTTCCTTACTAATTCTTCAATTTTTGAGGACGTGTTCCCCAGATTAGCCAGGGTCGTATTTTCTAAGTTTACAAGATATAGTGGGTTATCAGAGCTCATTGCCATATCCATTCCATTTTTATTAAAAAGATCCATTATCCAGGAAACCACAAAAAAGCAAGCAGCGTTCATTGGAAAAGCTCTTATCAGAGTAGAGTTCAATCCTCTAAAGAAAAAGAGAGTACCCTCTTTTTCAAAGCCCTTTTTCGCACAGTCTATGAATCCATTGTATTTAGCATTTTTTCCTAGGGCGTCCGCTTGCATATGCGTTTTAATTACATCAATTGGATAGCAGGCTAGCCATGACGCTATTCCAGCACAGCCTCCGGCCATAAGAGTATATGGGATATTAGGACTATCCCTTTGCCGCATCAAATACTCATAAGATACAAAGTAGCTGGAAAATCCTAAGATAATATGAAAAAAGACAAAAAATAGTATAAGTGCTATATTTAGAACCAACTATCCCATTGATATTTACTCCAAGAGGAACTATGTATTTTATCTTTCAAAACATTTCTTAAAGTTAAAAAAAAATAATATATTGTTCATAACTTTTTTTTGTGTTATATCTACAGTGGCGAACACGTATGGATACATGTTTATCACTTTTCACTTTAAGCGCCTGTAAAATCTTTAAAAATCAATCAATCCTTGTGATTTTTTTTTTTAAAGATTCATTAATTTATTGAGAATGAAAAAAAAACAACAATTTCAATTCAAAGAGATCCTTTTCCTCAAGACATTTTAATTTGTTCAAAAAATGAGCATGTATCAACTTTTGCACGTTTCGTACTTTTCCAATGTTTTTTAAACAGAGCCCATTGATTTTCAATGGGATTTAGATCTGGACTATTCAGCAGGCCACTGGATTAAGTGAAAACTCGAATTATTGCTACCGTCTGGCTGGAAAGTGATCTCGGATATGGGGAAGTCACATTTCTCTATAAAATTTGACAAAATGGGTTCCTAAATAATAAGATAATATTCTTTCTTCATTATTCCATCGATTTCAACCAATTGGAGAACGTCCCATGAGTGGAAGCTCTGCTTACGATCGGCCTGACACCGGCAGATAGCCAGAAAAAACCTGCCCTCTCTCACAAAAAGTGGCTGCGCATCTTATATTTACCGAGGAGCATAGGAACTGGACCAGGGAAAATTTTAAGAAGGTAATTGGGTTAGATATACCAAAATAAACCGTTTTAAGTCTGATCGAAACGAAAACTACTGATATCGCTCATGTGGAAAGCTAAAAAATCATCAGGTCAAGGAAACAATAAAGCATGGACGAGGAAGACTGACGGTGTAGGGCTGCTACACTGCTATGATAAATACTAAGGCCCTTTGGAACAAATATTTTTAAAAAATTATTAAAGTAAAAAAATTTGAAACGTGCAAAAGTTGATACATGCTAATTTTTTGAACAAATTAAAATCTCTTGAGGAAAAGGATATCTTTGAATTGAAATTGTTGTCTTTTCTCATTCTCAATAAATTAATGAATCTTTAAAAAAAAAATCACAAGGATTGATTGATTTTTAAAGACTTTACAGGCGCTTAAAGTGAAAAGTGATAAACATGTATCCACACGTGCTCGCCACTGTAGATTAAAAGCTTTGTAAGTTTATGAATACAGCTATCAATCCGTCTGTTGCGTGACCTTCATCTAATCGTCATACTACTTGAATTGTTTATTTTTATCGGGAGCGCAATAAAAGCTCGCTCTCTTGCTCTTGGCGATTTCGTCCCGCTTTGCCACCGTAGGTTAGCTAGAGTCAGAGATTTGAATTGTGAAGAAAATATAGTTGTTTGCTAATATTGAAGGAGATCGAGCGTATTCAATTTCGCCCCGCCTATAAATAATTAAATTACAGCCACCCAAAGTTCTCGGTGATCTTCATTTAGAAAAACTCTTCTAATTTTTCAAGGCGCCCCCGGATGGACTGTAAAGTTAATTGTAGGCAACAACAAAGTGTGACAGTAACACAAGAAATTGCAGTATATGCAAACACAATCGTTGCCCGCGTCGTGGTGTTTGTGTCCTACCAATCCATTTGCATAATCATCGCGTCGGTCGCGCCAATATTAATTTTTGTGCAAATTTCTGCTACCGCCGAGGGATGCCCTGCGATAAAGCCAGGAAAGTAGCAATTGGAGTAGTAGCAAGTAGCAATCCAAAAGAGGAATCAGAGGTATTTGCACATCGATTTCAATTCAAGGCACAGACGTATGATACATAGTGGAGCTAGATTGCATGGAATTTATTAATGATTTCTTATAAATATAGCAAAATACACATAAATACATACAAATCGACACATACAGACATATGTGAACCGCTATTTGGACGCAAAAGTTATATGTCGATAATCGATACTGTTTCGTCGATTTACGGATCGTTACTGTCGATCGGAGACGATACAAAAATTTCGAATGTGTTCAGAGCAGAAGCTGTAACAGGGCAACCGAGCTGTTAGCACGCCAGGCTAACAGCCTGTTATCGCTGCTGGGTGCCGCGCTCAGTTAACAGCCAGTTACATAGCCCTCTGCCTCGCTCTCGAGCTGTCGGTTCGGTGCGCTCCTACGATCCACACGACGCTCACGGTAGTCTTAGCATGTAAGCTACAAGGAGTTACGTTTCCCACCCCGCTATAAGCTGCCGTCGTGCACATACGCGCACCTACGATCTACATATATACATAAATACATGGAACATATTTATTGGAAACACTCTGACTTCTTCATTTGGATATTTTCCCACTCGTCGCTGGAAACCCGCTCCGGTGATCCGCCCTCCTACAAACAGAATGCAATGCTTATTCATCTCGTTTTGAGACTTTGAGAAAGTCTTGAATCGTCGATACCAGCATCTGTCTGCTGAAGAATCGACGAAGCCAAGGCAGGACAAAGTCAAGCAACATAATAGCAGTTCATTTGCTTGTTCTTCCACTTCCACCAACAGTAGAACTCAGCGAACTTGTAGCTACTGCAATTCAGGAGACCATGTAGTGTCAAATTTCCCTCCATTTTCGCGTCTCTCGGTGATGCAAAGGTTTGAGTTTGCCAAGTCAGCATCCTTATGCATAAACTGTCTGCGAAAAAGCCACGCTGTTGTAAAATGCAAAGCCAATAAATGTCGAGTGTGTAGCCGCTCACATTATACATTATTGCATCGATACACAGTGTCTCGCGTTGCCACCACCCCAAGAGAGTCCTTCTCCTCCATCAAATCAGAATCAACCTTCCACGTCACATGTTCTGCATGCGACAGCGTTGGACAGGGTAATTCTGGCTACGTCGATTGTAAGCGTCCAAACTAAGAGCGATGAACACATTCTGGCCAGAGCTCTGCTCGACTCTGGATCTCAAACAAATTTCATTACCGAGGACCTCGCTAATTGCTTACAGATCCGTAGAGAGGAGTCCTGTATTAACTTGCTTGGAATTGGTGAATCTAATTCTCAAGTAAAGAATAAAATACACACAGTGGTGAAGTCGCGAATAAATGGTAGTGAGTTCTGCTTTGATTTTTGGATCCTGAAATCAATTTCAGGTTATCACCCTGACCAGTCAGTGAATGTGACTGACTGGCGAATCCGAGAGAACCTACCACTGGCAGACCCTTATTTCTACAAGCCACAAAGAATAGATATGTTAATTGGAGCAGAATCGTTCTTTGAATTATTAGCTGTTGGTCAAATTAAACAAGGTCCTGACTTTCCAACTCTTCAGAAAACCCTTCTTGGTTGGGTTGTGTCGGGAAAATATGTTTCCAAGAGTTCTGCTCCTCAAATTACAAACAGTTTGAGTTGCAGTGAAGAGTTGCTAGTATCCATCGATAGGACCTTGAAAAAGTTTTGGTCACTGGAAGAAATGCCATCTACCAAGAAAATTGCCACACCTGAGCACAAGCTATGTGAAGAACACTATTGTAAGCCGACTCAGGTACTATCATCAGCTCGGTTCGAAGTAAGGCTCCCGTTTAAGTCAGATCCAAATTGTTTAGAACTCCTTTGGGGTTGCTAAACGGCGGTTTTTGTCGCTTGAAAGACGATTGCATCGTGACTCTGAGTTGAAGAAAATGTACTTGGAATTCATGGAAGAGTACCTCTCCTTAGGTCATATGTCTCCTACTGACACTACGATTCCTTCTACTCCGCACTACGTATGCTCATCAGTATGTTCTGAGGCCCCAAAGTACGTCTACCAAGCTCCGAGTCGTGTTCGATGCTTCGTCCAAGACGTTCTCCTTGAATGATATTCTGATGGTGGGACCTATACCATTCAAGAGGAATTATACTCGACAATGCTCCGATTTCGTCTGCACAGGTTTGCAGCGACCGCCGATGTTAAAAAGATGTATCGTGATGGTGAACGAAGCGGATCGTTAGTTTCAGCTCATAGTGTGGAGAAGAGACCCTTCTGAATCCTTGAGATTATACAAGCTCAACACTGTAATATATGGGACTGGACCAGCCCCATTCTTAGCCATCCGGTGTTTGAAAAGGTTGAGTGAGTCTGCGAAGCTCTCATTCCCCAGAGCTGCTATCGTTATTGGGTCCGACTTTTACGTCGATGAGTTGATGACTGGTGCTGCATGAGTAGAGGAGCTAGGGGAAATTAAGTCCAAAGTGTCTCAAGTTCTTCAGGCCGCAGGGTTTGAGTTGACTAAGTGGTTTTCAAACTCACCCGAGATCACCGCATCTGAGAGCACAGCCAAACCCATAACAATTTCGGATTCAGAGTCGACAAAGGCGTTACAAATCTCATGGTTACCTACTGACGATTCCTTTACGTTCAAAATTGACAATTCAGGTATGGGTCTCAGAGTGACAATACGGAACATACTATCGGTGACATCAAAGACATATTGCAGGAGCTCCCGCTAGGTTGAAAAATACACTATCTCAATTGGAAGACATATCCATATCTGTATTCCGGTCCGATGTCACCGGTTCAATTCATGCCTTTGCTGACGCCTCCATGAGAGCGTATGGAGCGTGCGTCTATATACGTAGCAGAACTGCAGAAGGTTTAAAAATATCATTGTTGACTTCTAAATCCAAAGTAGCGCCGCTCAAGACTAAAACGCCCCCAAGGCTTGAGTTATGTGCCGCTCACCTTCTCGCAGATCTCTGTCACAGAATCAAGCCGTTATTAAACGTACCCATTGAACGAGTCGTTTATTGGTCGGATTCAGAGGTAACTATTCATTGGATTTCGTCTCATCCATCGTCGTTGTCGACTTTCGTTTGGAATAGAGTGGCTGTTATTCAAGAGTGGTCAGATGATGCTACGTGGCGTCATGTACCCACGAAACAGAACCCAGCAGATATTGTCTCAAGAGGTTCTGACGTCGACGAAATCGTTGTCAATTTGGTTCGAGGGACCATCATTTCTGAAAG